CAAGTTTTTACTGCCCGTATTATAAAAAAAATATTGTACATCTGTGTTCACAAGGGTTCAGACTTAACACAACCTGGAGTCGAATGCGCGACCTTGACATCCAGATGTCCACCTGACACGTGTACACAAACATTTGATTATTAGAATCAACAGATGGACAGTTTTTATACTTCAATGCTAAGGAGGGTGTGAATTTTTATAAGTATATATATATATATATATATAGCCTTTAGCAAAGTAGCCCTTGTTTCGCTCATGAGCTTTGATCGTGGTTTCATGTAGCTTTGTTTTGTTTTTGATAATTGAAACCGCTTTATTTTCTAAGTAATAAAATGTTTATTTTTTTGTTTGTCCTTCTTTCACGTCGAAATGTAGTGACAGATTGGCGTGATCTTTTGCGTGGAGATAGTTGGAAGGCTGGAGAGTGACATAGGCTACTTTTTACCGCGGGAGTTTACCTAATTCCCGCGGGAAAACACTTTAGAATACAAACCAAAAAAAAATATTTTTATCAGATCAGAATTACTTGAAACTTGGTAATTACAGCTCTTCAATAAAATTAAATAAATATGTGTTATAGCATTTCTCGAAATTCATCCTATAAGGGGGTAAAATAGAGGATGAAAGTTTGTATGAAACTACCTTTTTAGATATTTTTTTGTAGTTTTAGCGCGAGCGTAGCCGCGGGTTCTGCTAGTTATACTATAAATCTATTTTTTTTAAATATAAGTTACTTGCTTATATGACGCACAAAGGTATAAAAGATTGATTACAATCAATACAACAATTCGCAAACATTCTCGCAAGACTGTTAGCCCTAAAGCAAAAATTGTACCGAGAAATTTACGAAAAAATTAAAAAAAATATTAACTAATTTACGACATTCTTCAGTTTAGACGACCAAAAAATCCGGGTCAGTCATGTCGTTACTCGCGAGTTGCATGCGGCGGGCATCGAACCGGTTGTACAGCTGGCCGGCAGGTGTAAAGTAAGGTTCTATGTATTTATAGATTCTCTTTGTGTAATTGATTTCGTGTAATATATATATATATATATGTGTGTATGTACCTATGTATATATGTACATATTATGTGTATTTTGTATGATTATTACGTTTGTTGATTTATTAGCGTTTTAAAAACACGGGTTCAAAGCAAAAAGATGTTACCTCGAGTTTTTTCAATGATTTTGAAAATGATAATATATAGTTTGTTTTAGCGCTTTTTTATCTTGTATATTTAAAAAGGTAACTAATACGCAATATATATTTTTCATCTATGTAGTTTTTTTTTAATTTATTTAATACTAGCACTGTCCGCGGCTCCGCCCGCGTTCAGATGACCAAAAACAAAATTCTTAGGTTTTACATATTAGTATACTCTTACATTGCAGTTTTTGTATTTTTTCACAGAAATAAGACATTTTCCCGCCCTAAAAAGTATCCTATATGTTGATCCGGATGATATCACCATACCAAATTTCATCGAAATCCTTCCAGTGGTTTTTCTGTGATGCGGTAACAGACAGACAGACAAAATATCTAAAAACTATAGATTCGGCCTCTGTATCGATTATAATGTCTATTTCAATAAGATTTTCCAAAAAATATTTAATGTACAGATTTGACTTGGTTACAATTTTATTATATACGTATATAGATAGTCTATACGTATATTCTAACCGAGTCAAATTCTCGATTCGAAGATCTGAATGTAATTTAGCACAGGGATATTTATAGTCTGGAATAGCACATAGGCTACTTTTTGTCCCGGACAAATGGACGGTTCCCGTGGGATAGATTTCATATTTTTATACGTAATACTGTTTTTCAAATCTGAACATGTTATTTTTTTTTAATGAAAAGTCAGTTTTATGTTGAGGCCCTTTTTATATTATTAAATATATATATATATATATATATATATATATATATATATATATATATATATATTAACTACGATTGTGCAAAACGTCTCGACGTTTTGATGTTGCTGCGCTATATCTATTTTTTTTATTGGGGACGAATTTGTTAACATTTTATTGGCAATATCGTAAGACAAGTCCGTGTGAAGCTGCATCAGCTATAATAGGTGTTGAGTTTCACTACGCCGGTGGTCGCGGGGTGAAATTACCGTTTCGATTTTGCAACTGTTGGTAAACATGGGTTTTCTGAATATTTGCACTGCAACTTGATGCCGTGTTGTACACTAAGGGGTTTTATTGTTGAACTAGTTAACGTCTGCAGTTCTGCTCGCTTGGTACGTTGATAAAACGTTAAATAAGTATTTTTTTAAGTGTTTTTTTTTTAGAATCGTTGTGATTTGAAATTCGATGAAACGAAAAATGCGATACTAAAAAGAGACAAACACATGCGTGCTGTTATTGTATATTTATGTCAAATAAAATGTAAAATAACTTTTAAACTTGGTAAAAATAATAAAAAAAATAAACTTTCATCATCAACATCTCATTCTCTCGTTAGTTACTTTTCTGAAGTTTCATTCTACTTGCATTTTTTTTGCGGAAAACACCTATAGGCATAGATAAACTTAAAAAACAAAACCTTATCTAAATACATCTAAATCGTTAGAGCCGTTTCGGAGATACATAAATAAATTCATATATATATACCTATACATATGTACATAATACACACACACACACAGACATAAATATATGAACTGCCCATTTAAATTTATAAGATAAAATTATTAAATATTTATAAGATAAAATATTTATTACTGTCATAAAAAATAATCTAACAGATATACAAAATTTCGCACTACTGATATAGAGATTTTTAAGGGGTAATCTCAAAAGGGCTTTGACCACAGACATCGAGTAATTCAATACGACCCCGTATACTCTAAAGCTGAGGATGGTTTGATGCTCACTTGCGTAGATATGGGAATATTGTTGTAGATCAAATTATATGTATAATGCTGTAGTGGTAGGCTCTACATTTCTTTAAAAACTATAAACAAAAATTAATCCATGTACATAATACCTCTTTAAAATTGAAGAAGAACACCTGGAAAAGTTTTTACTGTGATGAAACAAATATACAGACTTTTTGTATCAAATTTTGGGACTTAATTAAGAATTTAGCAGGAAGCCTTATGATTATATGCACTGAATTAGGTTGTCGTGCAAAAAATCTGTCATTTGGTCAGCGAGGGCTGATTTTTGCATCAACTTTAAGTTTTACAGTGGCTCTTTTTTATGCACACTATATGCATACTGCACTTATATAGATGTTTTCAAATTTAATGTAAGAGATATCTATACTTATTATAAAAATAAGTCCCCCGGCCGCGTCTTTCTGTCCTCCTGTCTGTCTGTACGCGATAAACTCGAAAACTACTGAACGGATTTTTATACGGTTTTCAACAATAGAAAGAGTAATTCTTGAGGAAGGTTTAGGTATATAATTTATTATGCTTTTATGTAAATTAGCTGAAATACGGCGACAAATGTTGAAGAGGTCGCAAAAAATCTCGCCAAATGGGAACTTTCCACGCGAACGCCGCGTAAACTAGCAAAGATACAGTTAAGTAATGTACTAGAGAATTCAAAATCTATAAAAATGCTACAAAAAAGTCCGCGATAGCATATCTCTATCTCTTACGGTTGACTTACAATAACCACTTTTATGTTAACATTTTTAATTAAAAACATTACGTTATTTTCAAAGTTATTTTCTTTAGTTCGGTATTAATCCTTATCCAAATGAATATTTTAGTTAGCTTAGTCATTTAATGCAGATTAAAATTGCTCTTTACACTAAATCAATCAGATGAATAGTTTTTTGAGATATCGTTGTTAGAAGTAATTAGTAGCGAAACATTTTTAATGCTTGGCGAGCATTGAGATGCCTACGGCGAGTCCATCCCCTCTGCCCCGCATCGCTCGACCGCCTGCTCAAGCTATATAAACCGGGCGATGTAGCGCGCGATCCTAGGATACTTTTTACCGCGGGAAAATATCTTATTTCTGAGGAAAAATACAAAAACTGCAATGTAAGAGTATACTAATATGTAACACCTAAGAATTTAGTTTTTGGTCATCTGAACGCGGGCGGAGCCGCGGGCAATGCTAGTATATAAATAAAACAAATTTGGGTTTTTACAACACTTATAAGTAGAGAACTGCTGGACCGATTTTCATGGTTTTTGATGTTGGATTTGTCTCCGCCCCGAATAGCAGAATAAATGTTGAAACACCGGAAAAATCTCGAAAAAGTTAATGAAATTTGCATGGCTAACGCTTGCTAATAACTCTTAATATATATTTAAAAAGTACCTATGGACGAACCCGAGCAAAGTGAGGGTGAGTCGCTAGTTATTAATAAAATAAAAAAAAACCCATAAAATGACAAAACTGCTCGATTTCAATTCATCATTGCAAAACATAAAGCACTCAGCAAAAAATGTTTAACATATTCGTTAACACGCTTTGTAAATATAATATTCAATCCTGTGACAACGTGCAGTCAATAACTACCTGCTTTCTTTGTCCCCTATCCTGCGTTCGATTCCCAGGCCGCTATGGTTTCTATAGGCCCATGGGACGCAAGGTGTTCAATGGTTAGATTTAAACTTTAAGTGATTTCACGGTGCGGTAAATAGAAAGCGCTGCTTAAACACATTTTAAAACTTTTTTTCTGTAGATTTTTTCTTTTAATTTTATTTTCAATTTTGTCAATTCAGTCTTCAACTTTAATGGTACTATTTACTACATATTTCAATAATATTCCCATCATATAATTATTTCGTTGGATTATATGTTAATTCCTTTTTTAACAGCATTCCTGTTTGCGAATCACTTACATTAAATAACAATTTAAAATTTCTTTCAATATAGAGTCGGCGTCTTAAAGCACATTACGTAAAAAAACGTTATTGTTTATTATTTTGCGGTCAGGGTGGTCCCATCTGTTACGAACAAAATTTTTTGAGTGTTAAAAATAATATGGTGTAAACTAGTTATGTATCCGAAAGATGGCAATGCGTCATGACCTCACCATGGACCAGACTTTCCTTCCGGCTGATCCACCACCGGTAGCGGACGCTTACCAACCGAAGTCTGATCTAGCATCGGAATACTTCAACACATTCAACCAAATATGCGAGAACTATAGAGAATCTGACATAAATCTCCGTCAGACGTCAGATACACTGAGATTGTCATCAGAAATTCTGGATGGGCGGCGCGAGGAGTTCATCAGCACAGACTTTCTAGCGAGGAATAAGGAATATCAGGCGGAATATGCGGAGAAAGTGTTTCTAAGTGGGAAGGATGATCAGATATTTCAATTTGGCCAACCTGATGCATCAGCCCTTCTGAGACACAGGGCGAGAAGAAGATACAATGAGGAGCACGGCCTCCAACCGCCCGCGCTTACTAGTCAAGAGAGTGGGGTAAGTTGGCTGTTTCTTGGAATATAATCTTATGTTTTCATATGCAGGAAAAATTGTCTACGGTTTTATAGGAAACGTACTTATCTTTAATTTTATATTTAAAAAGTTAAAGATTTTATTTTGGAATGTCTTTGATATAAGTTTTTTACCGACTTCGACAAAGCCCTAAATAGGGTTATGTGTTTGACCAGTATGGCTGTGACCTTGTAGCAAGACTCGCACTGTTTAAAACATATATTTACCTAGTACCTACATAATATTTTGTTTCTACGTCACCTTGCTTCTGTTTTTTTAGCTCCCATTTCACGTTGAGAATTTTAGTTTTTGTAATTATTTTTAACAGACGTGCTGTGTATAATGTTAAAGGTAAATCCAAAATCTGACAAGTTTTGTCATATTCACCAAAAAGCCAAAGTCACAGGAGGTATATAGGTTATATATCATTATGACGGCGAACGTTGTAAAATTAAATTATATAGTTTTAACATATAAAAGATCATTTTGGATTACGCAACGAATACTACAGATAGAGACATAGTAAACACGCGACGCCCACACGGAGCTAATTTAGACCGCTAATTATGTACGTAAACTATCCTCGGATATAGATCTGTGCACTGTACAAATGTACTATCGTCTGTTTGAGCTTAGAGATTTATAATCCACTAGATTTTACACGTGGCCCTGTTCGCATTTTATTTGCTTTTAAACCCTATAACTTCTCGATGCAAAGATATTTTTTAAAACCTAAAAAATGACGTTTTTTTCTTAGGAAAAGACCTCTAAAGTTTTATAGTTTTAGTGAATATTTAGTAATGAATAGTTATACACTACAAGGATGGTCCCATAAATGTAAATTTCAACAAGAAATCACTCGAGATGAGTTATAACAGCTTAATCTTTATTTTTTAAAGTATTCAACGTGCAACTTCCAATTTTCATATGTACGGAAGTATGTGGATAAAAAATATCGAGTTTTAAGATAGAATTTGACTTTGAATGGTCTCATCAATAACAATTTATATCTATCAAAGAAATCATCCTTCGCAATTCAATACCTGCGCTCTACATCTAATGGATGTAAAATGATACCCTTCAATAATAGAACGCACTCTACGTTTAGGGGTGGTTTTTGTAGAATTCTTGTCGCGGGCCGTTAAAATGTGTTGCCATGTGATGTGTTTTTGACAGAGGATATGTTTATGATAATGTAAATTTGCTACTGTATCTTAAGTTTTAAAATAAATGGTTTTTTTTCCTACTCATTCTAAGGTTAAATAAAAAAACCATTGTTTGAAATAATTATTTCAATCTAAAAGAAATGTCATACTTGAACCCTTTTAGGTTTTTTAAAATTAAAATCGATAGTCCATTCCATAAGCATGGGTAATTAAAAATAATAATTTGTGAAAATAGTACGTAACGTACCTACAAAAACATGTCATAAAACATACATATATATTATACATATAATATAAACTAAATAAAATGAATTATAAATGGATATGTTTTATTTAGAAAAATTATTGTTAGCAAAATATTTGAATATATTTCTCATACTAGCGACTCACCCTCGTTTCGCTCTGGTTCGTCCTCAGATGGTTCTTTAAATTGACATAGCTTTTTTTATTTATGAACCGATTGAATAAATAAAAATAAATACTAAATGTTAAGTGAAGCTTACTACGATACATTAGTAAAAACCGCACCCAAATCGGAAACGGCTTACGTTTCTGAGATTAGCGCGCACAAACGAACGGACAAACGGATAAAAAATCTAAAAATCATTGTTTTAGGTTCTATTATAATAATACTAGTTTTTCTCAAAAATCTTTCATGTACAGACAGCGATCAGTTACAATTATATTATACTAGCGATTTATTCTAGCTTCGCTTCCCATACAAACTTTCATCCCCATTCCCAACCCCTTAAGGGATGACTTCCGGGATAAAAACTATTTCATTCACTCACTTTTCATATCATGAGATTTAAAAAAAAATCTTATTTTAATTAAAAAAAAAACTTTTATTTATTTATTATAAAGGCTTACTAACTAAATTTACATATAACATGTATTTAACATTATAATATTACGCTATTTGTACATAAATTTTATTTTAAAAGTACGCACAGCTTTTTATAGAAATATTTTATTAAAACTTTATGTGGTTACGAGTATATTTAATTTTCTTCTATACAAAATTTCTTGACGATACCAAGCACAAAAAATAGTATTATTCAATTTGGTGCAATCGATCTGAAATTATACGCGAACATACATTTCGGTGATTCATTTTTATTTATATAGATAGATAAAGAAAAAAAAAGCTATCAGACATAAAAACTTTTTACAAAAAAAAAACCGACTTCAAACAAAAGCACTAAAAAGTAAAAAATAACTGATTGGTTGTTTTCATTTACTACACATACCTAATCAAATATTTTCGAAGCACCGACTTCGAAAATATTTGATTAGGTATGTATTTAATAGGTAGCCTTTAATTACTAAGACAAACCAAAAAAAAAAATACAATCGGATTGAGAACCTCCCCCTCTTTGAAGTCGGTTGAAAATTAATTAACATGTCCGTTGAATGAATGTGGGACAGAACTAGATGTAACTTGTAATAATTCCCTCTCAGTACATTATAGGAATCTCATTTATAGAAGCCTCATTTATAGGAAAATAGCGTTTGATAAACCTACCTTGTCATAAGCAGACTTCGAACTTATTTAAAGCTTGCTGTTTCAGAGGAAATTGTTCGTCTAAATTACATTTCTCTGAATTCAAAATAAGTTGCGTTTTAACGATTGTATCATTAATCTTCTTTCGAATATACTAGCGACTCACCATCGCTTTGCTCGGGTTCGTCTTTAACTTGCTTCCCCATACAAACTTTCATCCCGATTTTCACCCAGTTAAGGGATGATTTCCGGGATAAAAAGTATTCTATGTCCTTCTCAGGGTCTCAAACTATCTTCATACCAAATTTCATCTAAAGCGGTTTAGTAGATCCAGAGATCACCCTCTACAAAACTCACAAACTTTACCTCTTTATAACATTAGTATGTATAGATAACATTTTCGTGTCACAGTGTTTGTAACAAAATTCCTCCAAAACGGCTTGACCATCCTTATGAAATTTTGCGTGTATATTCAGTTGGTCTGAGAATAGGACGTAAACTATTTTTCTTACCCTTAAGTGATAAGGATGGTCCACCCAAAAAAAATTTTTTTGGACAATTTTTTTTATTTTAATTTTTTAATGATTTGGCATTAAAAATACATACATTATCTATATTTTCACTAGGAAAGAACCCGAACGGAGTGAGGGTGAGTCGCTAGTACATACAATAAAATTCTAACTGTTGTGAGTCGAATCTGAACATTAAATATTTTTTCTGGAAAATCTTATTGTAATTGTCATTATTGTCGATACAGAAGGTTAATCTATAGTTTTTAGATTTTTTGTCTGTCTGTCATCGCGAGAAAACCACTGGACAGATTTAGATAAAATTTGGTGTGATGGTAGCTGCTTATCCTGCCGGTTAATATGTATAGGATGCTTTTTACTGCAGGAAAATATCTCATCTCTGAGAAATCTATACTAATTGTTGAAACGTAACCTTAAAGCCTATATATATATATATATAACCCTTAAGAGTGGAAATGGGAACCTTGTTTTATTTTATAAAAAGATTTTGTACGACAACTTAATTAATTTGGCCAATGTTCTTCTTAGACAATGTGAGTAGATTCAGAATCGTAATTTTACCTTAAGAAAAAGTCGTCTTTGCAAAGTAAACTTTTAATAACTTTGATTTTTCAATTCAATTCAATTCTCTTGTTAATGGCTTCAAAAATTCAATTCTCTAATGGCTTCAAAGCATGCCAGTTCGCCAATGTCACGTAGAATGGAGAAGAACTGCTCAGTCATAATATATTATTGACATTCCCATATGACCTATCTCTAATCTTAAAAACCAGAATAAATTCAAATGATTTTTTTCTATCATAATTTGATATTGATGTAAATTATTATATAACTTATTCGCTTTTGTGTAACAACAAAGTCAAATAAAATCCCTTTAATATTATTTCTGATTGTCTCGGTATAAATTATAAACTAGTATCGGCTATAAGTTCAACAGGAAGTGATAATCTCTTGAGAGTAATATCCTCCCTCGTGTACGTGGCGTTTATAAATACAACTAACATGTAACCCGTGGGATTCTTTTTGTTAAATTTCATCGAAATGGTACGTTGCATCATTGTCGTCTTAATATATACATACAAAAAAATTCTTATGTACGTTTGCTTGTCACCTTACTCCTCCTGAAGGGCTGGACTGATTTGGATGAATATTTGTGTGTATATTTCAATGGGCTCCTGGATATTTTGAAAACACAATTGGACACAGTAGGTGGCGCTGCAGTCAGTGTGTCAAAGAGTTTGGTTTTTTTTAGTAGTTTGAACGCGGGTGAAGCCACGGGTACTGCTAGTAGAAAATTTAGTATTATTTTAGAAATGGCTAGCGACTCATCCTTGCTTTGCTCGGGTTCGTCCCTATATATTACTACGTTTTAACGGTTAGTATTTCTCAGAGATAGATATTTTGCCGCAGTAAAAAGTATCCTATATGTTGACCCGGATAACCAGCTATCATTATACCAAATTTCATTAAAATTAGTCCAGTAATTATCTCGCGATGCGTTCCCAGACAGGGTGACAAATATTTTAATTACTAGATTCGGCCTCTGTATCAATAATCATGATTATTTCAATAATATTTTTCAAAAAAATATTTTATGTACAGATTTGACTCAGAATTTTATTATATGTATAGGTGTACTAGAGATGTACCTATCTTATTATATCTTCACATATTAGATATATTATATAGATATTAAAAATATTATGACTTGATTTCAGATTGATGTAATTTCATAAATACATAAACCGTTTGCTTTTTGAAATGTACTAATGTCTGTCTCCTACG